AATAAATTTAATGATATTAAATTTAAATTTAGGTTCGGTATCATTTCTGTTAAATTTAGTTAAATCCATAAAAAATATTTTGCATTTGTTTTGAGCTTGTCGTCAAGACAAATAAATTTATGGATTTAGGGTCTGTTTGAGGCAGTTGTAGCAGTTATCATAGGAAGCTGTTGTTTGCAATAGAAATGTCATAACAATATATTAAAAAAAAATCCACTTCAGAATCGTACAAAAAATAAGATATACACATCATCTAACAGTGAACATCAAGTTCAATAAAATAAAATAAAAAAATTAATTAAAATAATATTTAATAATATGATAATATTATTTTTAAAATGCAGACGATATATATTATCCATTCTATCACTCAAGGAGGTAGAATATCCCAACATATTTGTCCATCGGAAGAAGCCACACTTCTTCATGATTTCACGTTGGCACCTGTGTTACTATCTTGCACAACTATAACACTGACGTGACGTCTGTAGGGATGCTAAAGTTTATAATTGTTGAGAAATTAGGGTTAAGAAAAAGAAGAATCGACACAAAACCAGAAGAACACAAAGATGTCTATGTCCTCATGAGCAATTTCACTATTTCAAAGGAGTTTAGTACATACCGTAGGTTTACACATTATATATAGACATAAAACCCACAGATAAAATTACTAATACGCCCTCGCTCCCCCAACCCACGTAACGGAAGTCCCCCGATTAGACAGATTCTTCCGCTCCACTCTGCTCTGCTCCGCTCCGCTCCTTTACGTTTCATTCAAACATTTGTCCCTTATATGGCATATGAGCCATAGCTAACAAATCTTCGCATTTGCGAATATTTAGTCTCTTAGGAGAAATACATCATGAAGTTTCTTATACACTGAAAGTGGTTGGGCCACCATGCTTTTCTAGTAACTGCAAACATTCAACAAGTCCAAGCAATGCAAGAACTTGTTGATAGTAACTGGCTTGGTCAACATATCAACTACATTTTCATCAGTATGAACCTTCTCCACTAGTATCTCACCAAAAGCAATCAATTCTCTGATCTTATGATACTTGACATCAATATGTTTGGTTCACACATGGTATACCTGGTTCTTAGCCAAATAAATAACACTCTGACTGTCACAATGCAACCAAACTCCACCTTGCTCAACGCCCAATTCCTTTACTAGCCCAGCAAGCTATAATGCTTATTTTATAGTTTCAGCTACTGTCATGTACTCGACTTCAGTTGTAGATAATGAATTGTCTTTTTGCCTTTGGACTTTGATCTGAAATTTCATCTTCAAGAACCCTACTCTTTCTTCCTTCGATTGGACAGATTCTTCCGCTCCGCTTCATTCCAGCATCTTATATGGTATATGAGCCATACTTAACAATAATAGCACAACAATCCTCCAGAGGTCCCAGAAATCCTATATCTCATTTTTTCTGAATGCTTTAAAAGACAAATCATTAGTCATAACAGAAATATATATTGATAAAAAATAAATAATTATAGTTTTGTGTTTGCGCGAGCTCTCTAATAACTTAGTATACCAACCAACGAATCTGGCACTACAAAAAGACAAAAAACCATATAAAAGAAGGGTTCTCGGTTGCCTTTAACCCACATAATACTAAGCCCGTGTGTGTCGCATATGCATATCACCAAGAAATGTCATCTAGAAGAACCTTAAAAACTGCAGCATTGAAACACAACCACACATAGCCACACAAACACAACCACAAACACCCACACCACACATCTCCACACCCCAAAGCTCCACAACTCCACATAACTCCACAACAACACTCCACGACCCCACACAAACACCGCAACACAAATCAACTCCAATACCTCCACACAGAACTACACCTCCCCACACAAACACAAACCACACAGAACCAATACAACCACAAACACAACCCACCACAACGCAACCTCAGGCCCCACACACAACCACATTCGCGACAACCACCTCCACACAAAACTACACATCCACACATAACCACAAACCATACAAAACCAACACAAGCACACAAGCACATACCACAACAAATGCCACTACAACCCAACCACAACCACAACAACCTCCACATAGAATCACACCTCCTCACACAACACAAACCACAAAGAACTAACATAACCACACAACCACAAACCACACAACCCCACAAATAAACATCAACACCTCGATACACAAACACCTCCACACTGAACAATAAACCACAAACCACACAAAACCACACAACGCCACATACAAACACTTCTACATAGAATAACTCCAACACATCTACAAACAACCACAACCACAACCACCACAACACAACCATAGCTTTCACACACAGCCATAACCACCCAAGCAATCCACCACCACTAGCATCAAAATTGAACAAAATTTCACAGTAATCACCACCAGCAATCCACCACTAAAATTTGGCAAACCCACCAACAATCTACCACCACTAAAATTTGGTCAACCCACCAGTAACTGCCCCAACTAATCATCACAATAACCACCCAATCATCACACTCATGGTGTCCTTAACAAAATAAAAAAAAACCTGCATCACAACACAAGTACTCATCTCACCAATTCATAGAACAAGTCATCACCACATCACCCAACAAAGGAAATCACAAAAAACCAAAATCAGAGAACCTTAAAAATCCCCCACTGTCTTCCTAACCACCTGAATCATCATATAAGAACCAATAACCAATAACATCACATTATAAGTAATGCCCTTGTCAAATCCATAACAAAGGCCATAACCCCATCATCAATAAAGAAAATCCAACATTAATGCAAACTTGTAGAAATTGCAAAACTAAAACTGCAGAAATTGAAAAATCCAACAGCAGTGCACAATCACTTGAATATCATCAGTCAAATAGAGGTCAGAGAAGCTAAAACCATCCAAAATTAAAATGCCAAAAAATGTAATGGTAGAGAATAACGTGGGCCGAGGGAGAGAGAAAGAACCAAACAGAGCTAAAAAGTAGAGGGGATTGGGAGAGCAAAGTAACCACCAAGATAGGCAAAGCCTGGTTAACGGAGCCACAGATCGGAGAGGAGGAGGCTAGCGGGGATCTTACCTTTAGGGTAGAATCGCGAGAGAGGGGAGAGCGGGACTCGAGAGAGAAGCTCGGTCATGAAAGAAGGGAGGCAGGGGGTAGGGCAATAAAATTCGAACGTAAGATAACCTAAAATGCGGGTCGTTGGGTTGAACTTGTGGCCTGTGTTTTATTGATTTTATACATTTGTTGTCGCGCAGCATTTATCAGACGAGAAAAAAAACCAAATCGCATTTTCGGCGCCGAACGTGCGTTTTGGTTGACCGTAGGATTTAGAAGCGTTGAATCTGTGTTTGATGGATTTATTATGTTAATCCGCTTGTAAATAACTACTATTTTAGATTTTTAAAGGATTTATGTCTGAATTTAGGATAAATTCAGCTAAATACAAA